TCTTATTGATTAAATGAAAATATTTTTTCCGAACTAGGTTTTTGATGGCATAATTATATGTGGTTTTAAGCAAATGTATGAACGTCACGTAGGTGAATTGACTGACTAGCCCAACGATATTTATGGTTGTCACGAGTCAGCCTAGAAACTGGTTATGGTTACGGTAATTTAGAGTGTGCCACCCCCTTTAAACGCATGTATGTGTATTATCCATAAGGTAAAAATTCAATAAAATGAACGGTAGTTTAATAAATTTAAGAACTTTGAATACGTCAACATCAATGTTTTTAAGTTAACAATCCATAAAATTTAAAAAGCAAAAAAGAAATATAATTTTTTTCCAGTTTACAGTTATAACTTGATGTTTCACTTTCGTAAGACAAACATTGATTGGCTGTACATGAACTCCGTGATCGATTTCTGACAGCTCCAATATCGTAGTTATTTGTCCACAATTAGTTTGCTGTTAAAATTTTAAAATAAAACAACATGACCTGATTTTTTTCTTTCTTGTTTTTACATTTTGTATAATAAAATTTATGCTAGCATATCTAAAACCAGATCGTCTTCATTTGCCATCATTATGACGAGAAAACCAAATTACTTTTATCTTCCTTTAAAATTGTTTAATTAACAAAAATACTAAAACATCAAATAATTCAAATCTTTATAAAAGTTCAAATAAAACCAAACAGTCAGGTTTTTATAACCATAATAATTTTAATTACACCATACAAGATTTTTTTAAATATTGAATAAGCATCTCGAATATTTTCAAGACTTCTTTGTCCATTATAACACCTCTCAGTTCTAACCTTACACTTAGAAAAGAAATTACTTATATAAATGCAAAATTTTCAACTGCTTAACATTAAAACTTAAAGCTTGTAAACGTTTTATTTCAATATTACTGTAAATTGTCTTAAAAAGATATGTTTTTCAAAATAAAAAATAAAAAAAAAAATATATATATATATATATATATATATATATATATATATATATATATATATATATATATATATATATATATATATAATTAAACGTACTTATATACATTTAAAATTAAGATAGAAAACAAAAATTCGGAGAAAAACAAGCAGTGCAGTTGGAGTTCATTTAAAAACGTGTTTTTTATTTTAATAAAATCAATTATAGACTTGTTCTACAGAGCAGACTCAGAAACATCCGAATTGTGTTGTACAGATCTCGTGACACGTTGTGCGCTTTCTTCTAAATGTGTCGTAGTTCTAGTGCATACTAACGGCAATCCATTCTGAATGCTGCGTTCATAAGCTGCACTGTTGACGTCACCACTGAAACATCTGACTTTAGGTGTCTCTGGGACATCAAATCTCACGTAGACCCCAGAGTCTGTGTGTCTACGGCTGAACACGCGACTTCTCTGTCCGTAAGATACTTCAGCTCTCCCCGCCGCATTCTGACGTTCTAGTTGTCGGTGAAAGTTTTCAGCCTTTGTCTGTTTGCAGTATAAAAGATATAAGACGAAATACTTAGTTGAAATAAAACATAATAATGTTATAGATCAGTAGGACTGCAATACTGGTCATGAAATAACGAAGATTATTTTGATATAGATCAATTGAACATAAACGATGATCTAATTATATAAGCTAGTTGCATATTGATAAAATTGTTGCTTTAAAAATAAACATATATTAAACTTAAACTTAAATGTTTTTGTCAAACAAAAGATTCACGCTTTGCTTGACTGAGCTGCATGAACCTTCTGTTCTACTAGTTCCTGGATGGTGTTAATATGCCCGCGATTATAATATTCTTTATTTTGTTACTAATGAAAGATTAGACAAATGTATGTATCTCTGATTTAATGAAACCTATTTAAAACCCACACAATCAACACAACAACTACTTACATTTTCCGTGTTGGTGAGCTCATGGGAAAAGTAATCATCGCTGTCACGGGATAAATCTACTAGCTTGCAGCTTGGTAGATCTACAAATATTTCAAAGAGAACATTTCTTTCTTTACAGACCACATTAGTTCAAGCAGAACATTTCATTCTTTACAGACCACATTAGTTCAAAGAGAACATTTTGTTCTTTACAGACCACATTAGTTCAAAGAGAACATTTCATTCTTTACAGACCACATTAGTTCAAACATAACATTTCTTTCTTTACAGACAGCAATAGTTCAAACAGAACATTTCATTCTTTACAGACCACATCAGTTCAAACAGAACCAAATTTGTGTATATTTAAAAAACAAACACACGAGAGCAGGAAATTACTCACTGTCAATATCCCCCGTTCATTCATAACTGTTATCATCTATTGGTTAGTTAGCCCTTGGACATTATCCCTTGCGTTTTAAAAAAGGTGCGGTACTTCTAAACTATACCTTCATATGCCGAAGTCTCTATAACAGATGAACTCTACTTTATCTGTCCCATGCTTTTACGGCACGAACAGGAAAAGATGAACTCACTATCTCGCAATCAACAGCAATCAGTTTCTACCACAAAACGTCACTTCTTTCATCCGCGTCATCATTCCATGCATTGATTATCTCTTTAGCACCAACATTCATAGCAAACCCAACTTATAACAATGCTGATGGATTGAAAGAGGGTAATTGACAGATGTGCGGAATTAGAAAGCCGCAAAAAAAATACCTCTAATATTCTCAGTATGTTTCTTGGAGTTCTTTCTGCATCTCACCACAACAGACAACATTATCGCAATTACTGCTAAGCTGATGAGCACCAGGTAGGGTATAATGCGAACATTTAAGCTCTTTAACGGCTTTATTTCGACTGAAAATGGGGAGAAAAATTATTTGGCTGCTGTAAATAAGGAAATCTCCAAATCGATTCAATTTCAAAACAGATATTAACAAATTTATCAATTATGTAGAAACAAGTATTTTAAAAATGTCAGCTTTTCGTCAAAGCTAAACAGTTAACTCTCCACATTTTAAAATCCAATATATATATATATATATATATGTATATATATATATATATATGTATATATATATATATATATATATATATATATATATATATATATATATATATATATATATATATATGCCATAAGTAGTCTCTGTAATACTTTTTACAATTCATACATATTGATACTAATACTAATAGCCAAAGTTTACCTTGGATTTGAACTCGAAACTTTAACACTTTAGTGTTGTTCTCGTAAAGAAAATATTCCCCCACATCTCCTGGCTGAATTCCGTATATAGTAATGTTGACCTCACCACGTGACCAATTAGGGTAATTATAATTAACTTCCACCGTATATTTATTTCCGGGGACAGCTGAGTGCTCTGCTCCTTTCCAAAAAAAACGTGTTTTAAATTAATTTTTGAAATTATAGATTATCGCTTATCTGCTTAAGATTGACGTTAATTAAATTAAAATTGTTCATGTGAAACTTAAAGACAATGCTTAAAATACACTATCTCATATCTCTCTTTAAATGAAAGAAACGAGGCCTTTGATCATACCTTTATACAATGCTAAACCAGTAGGAACATAGTGGGCTCTAAAGCACATTCGTGTAGAGGCAGTAGAGTTGACGACCACGTCAACAGTTGGTACGTCTAACTGCTGATTACATGGCTGGACAGTGCCTTGAAGTATTGGACGAAAACAATTATCACGTTTAATATTCTAATAAGCTGTTAATTAGCGGTTCGTGTTGTTAATTAAATCTCCGCTCTTGATTCAATGGATTTAAGACATAATATGTTAAATGCCGCAACCTGAGGTTTTGAGGTTTACAGTAAATTGTTATTATGTATAATGTTATTCTGTAATTAATTTCTGTTATTAGCTACACAAAAAAAAAAACTGATAAGAAACACTTTATTATATTTTAGCATCACAATGGTATTCGTATTCTTACATAACAAATAGCTTGTAAATAACACAATTTGTTCATATTTACTTATGAATCTGATTTAAATTGGAATTTGAGGAATTTAGATACGTATTTATGATTTTATATCTATTAGGGAATCGTGTTACAAAAATTTCGAAAGCTTTTTCACAACCTTCGTGCTATTGGTTTCCAGCATACATCTGTTACAGAGTTTCTTCCAGGCATCTACCCCCCCCCCCCCTGAAAATTTTAAGTGCCCCCCCCCCCCCGGAGAAAAAAAAACTGGAAGAAACACTGATCTGTTACACTTACACACAACTTTTAAATCTTTGAACCTCTTCTCCTTCTTCGTGTTGTTGACGCCGTTAACCGTACACATGTATCGTCCGGTCTCGTTACACCTGCCGGTTAGCCGGTACACCAAGGATCTTCCTGACACCTGAGACATCAATTATTGTATACATCAGACTTTGAGTGTAAGCACAGCGTCATTTAGCATGCTGCTTGCGTGCTGGTCACCTAATATTAAAGGCAGGCCTTAGACTTAAACTTAGACGATATTAGATCCCCCTGTAAAAGCTAGTAAAGTTCCCTTTCGAACCTCATGGTCCATGGAGAAATAAAGTCCCAGTGTCTGTGACCTCGGCATATGAAGGAATAGTGTGGCCAGCACCATGCCCAGCCGCCTTTACGTTCCCTAACGCAAGCCAGGTGCTCAGCAGAGCTAACTGGACTCAGGGACGTTCTACGGATTTTAACGCGGGTTCGAACTCGAGACTTTCTAGTTAGCAGTTGCGTGCTCTATCATTCAACCACGCCGTCCCACTTGTATTGGAACAGAAATGTGTCGAGGAGAAAAAGCAGCTTACTTGATATTATGTAACCCACATGCTATTCTCAACATACACAGACGATCACATATGAGTAATGTCTTATTTAGTTTATTATTTTCAAAATGTCCTAAATAAAAGTGCCAAAAATAATTTTCCCTTTGTTTTTATAATAAGTATAATCGGAAGAATTTCAAATGAGCTTTTTATTAATAAAACTTTGTGCGCGTGCAACTAACGCTAAAATTTTGATCCTATTTTTAAAAAAAAATATTAAATGCTTATTGAACCTGTGTTATAAATTTTCTCTATTTTGTTATAATTATTCTAAGTCTAAAGATAAAATTGTACGTTTTTGTGAACAAACAATACAAAAAAAAATCTTCTACCCACATTACGTAACAATGTCAACTTCCCGTTATAGTTTTGATAATACAGTTCTATTTTAGGAACGGGAAATCCTGAAGTGTTACAGGTGACTGTGACGTTACTCTCTGTAGGTACAATGTTATCAAACATCGTTCCGTTGTCAACTTTTATTGTCATAGAGGTCAGCCTGACGGGCTCTGTGATAGAAAGTGTATAAGGTACAGTTACAGTTTATACTTATCCACTTCGTGTGATATAGGTAATAGAAAGTATATACGGTACAGTTACAGTTTATACTTATCCACTTCGTGTGATATAGGTAATAGAAAGTACACATGGTACAGTTACATTTTATACTTATCCACTTCGTGTGATATAGGTAATAGAAAGTACACATGGTACAGTTACAATTTATACTTATCCACTTCGTGTGATATAGGTAATAGAAAGTACACATGGTACAGTTACAGTTTATACTTATCCACTTCGTGTGATATAGGTAATAGAAAGTACACATGGTACAGTTACATTTTATACTTATCCACTTCGTGTGATATAGGTAATAGAAAGTACACATGGTACAGTTACAGTTTATACTTATCCACTTCGTGTGATATAGGTAATAGAAAGTACACATGGTACAGTTACAGTTTACATTTATCCACTTCGTGTGATATAGGTAATAGAAAGTACACATGGTACAGTTACAGTTTATACTTATCCACTTCGTGTGATATAGGTAATAGAAAGTACACATGGTACAGTTACAGTTTATACTTATCCACTTCGTGTGATATAGGTAATAGAAATTATATACGGTACAGTTACAGTTTACATTTATCCATATGTTGTGACATAGGTAATAGAAAGTACACACGGTACAGTTACAGTTTACATTTATCCACTTCGTGTGATATAGGTAATAGAAAGTACACACGGTACAGTTACAATTTACATTTATCTATTTTGTGTGATATAGGTAATAGAAAGTATATACGGTACAGTAACAGTTTATACTTATCCACTTCGTGTGATATAGGTAATAGAAAGTATATACGGTACAGTAACAGTTTATACTTATCCACTTCGTGTGATATAGGTAATAGAAAGTATATACGGTACAGTTACAGTTTACATTTATCCACATGTTGTGAGACAGGTAACTGTTTATATTAATCCACATCGTGTGATATAGATAACTTGGGGAAGAGTTAGATCAGACAACATAGATCAACCACCTAATACCGGAAACCACAAACTTGTTTTTTTTTTCAATGAAAAATCACCCTGCTTGCATTTTCTTATGGGCCTGAGTGTAGAGCGTGATAATGGAGAAATAATTTTCTTTTTTATACATTTTTATACATGATTAAAATAGAAACGTCATTAACCTCGATATTAACATATTGTTAAATCCATTTTTTTTCTATAAAAACACTGTAGCTGGTTATCTAAAAACTTTTAAATCCGTGAACACGTAGCTAAAATATTAACTAAGAGTATTAGATTATGAAACTAGCGTTTGTGATTAACATTTCTAGTCGTGTTTGTTCAAATAATAAGCTATTGTAAATAGATTTTTAGACTAACTTACATTATAATTACCGGTTGATTAAATTTTAGACTAACCTAGATAATTAAATTCACAGACGTCAGCTGCCACGTACGAAACGCTTTTAAATGTCACATGACAGGTCCAGTTTCCGATGTCATTTTGACCCATGTTCAATATTTTCATAACCAGTTTCAACGAGTTGTTTTTCATAGTTAGTTCCCCTTTGTAACCTAAAGAACTGGAGCAGCTAGAAGGGCCGCAACCTACGATTTCCTTTCCATTGTGTGAGAAGTACATTCTTGAAAATATTGAGTTGTCGTTCATGACAGTCGTGCACTCAAACGTGAAGTTAGCTCTTCCCTTCTCGGCGTATGGGCAGGTCACATCGGCTGTTGGAACAGCTGAGGAGATTACGTTGATGAGAATTGTGATGGGTTAGCTGTTCTACCGTGCTAAAATTAGTTTAGGAATTTATAAAGTTAAACTTAGCATTAGAATTTCGGAAAGTGGTACAAATAATATCTGTACAAACTCTTTAGTTTTTAAGTACGGCTCAAAAGTCGAAAGAGCAGTAGGATTTAAAGAATATTCAAATAAAATAGGTTCATTTTTTTAATTAGTTACTGTTCTGTAAAAAGTATATTTCTAACATATTATTACGTTTAAAGTTAATATCAAATTACGAATAAAAATCGTATTAAATTGCTGTTACAAAAATTGATTATGATTTCCATTTCGTTTTATAGTTTTAATTGAATTTGTTTGTTGTATCGTTACAGGTTATGATTAAAATATCGTCGACACATGTTCGTGTTACTTTGATATTTGTGTTCGATGGTGCTCATGACCAATGACAAATGGTCTAGGTCTATACTTGATCGTGGACCCTAGCCTTTACGTTCAGAAATATTTACACATATGATCAAAAACTCTGCCTCACCTGCATCGTGCTGGCAGATAAAGAACTCCTCCCTGTGCTGGTGCCACTCGGTCCATCCAGTAGGGGACACAACCACAGCAGCCATGTCTGGTACTGGAGTGTGTGGGTTATCGTACCAGGCGAAATAAGATGGCGTCTGTGTTGTATACAAAAAATAATTTGAGAGGCAATTGATCAAAATAGAAACAGTGTTAAGCATCATTGAATCAACATTTAAAAAATGCAAAAAAAAATGATTTTTATTTTCAAATTAATAATATATAAAAAAAATCTACAAAAATAAGTTAAGCATAGTAAGAACATGAAATTATATCAAATGTTACTAATACCAGCTTATAGTCTACACATTAATCTGGACTTGTAGTTTGCTTATAAATATGTTAATATAATCTAAACATGCATTTAAAAGCTTCCAATTCACGATATATACATGTATATATATATATATATATATATATATATATATATATATATATATATATATATATATACATATATATACATATACATATACATATATATATATATATATATATATATATATATATATATATATATATATATATATATATATATATATATATGTTGGGATGCTACAGTAGGATACCATTTTATAAACCTACATGTGCCCACGTGACAGAACCAAGTGAACACTACTTCACCTGCCCAATACATCACCAGGTCTAAAAGGCTAGATTAAAAAAAAAACAACAACACTTGCGTTATAATATTTTAACATCTGACCAACTCACCCTTGAGCAGCCATCCCACTTATATAAGCCCGCAGTGTCAAGGTCGTTTAACCCGATGTAAGCTAAAAATACATTTCTCCGTTTGAGCATATCTGTAAGAGATGCAAATGGTGTAAACAATAAAATATGCTATTTATAGAGCTTAGACACATATGACTTTACAACAGTTGACAAATTAAATGTATAGAACCTGCTCTTAACGTGCTAAGCCTTACAAATACCTTAATGTTTATTTACAAATTTATACTCACTAAACCTGTTTAGTACATATACTCAATAGTCTGTCTATTTTGTATGTATATCTTTGTTACGGGTCAGTTGCGGTCAGGTTAGAATAGGGTAGAATAGTCTCGAACTTAGGGGAGAGTGTGTGTGTGAGTTGAGTTCACCCTAGAATATTGTTAACCCCGGTGTGTTTATGTATTGTTATCCCAAGGTCGAATGTGGTATAACAGCGGGAGTGAATGATTGTCAGGGGTTAGTTGCTAGCGATTAGGACGAGGGCTACGCTTGAATGTATTTGAGACGGAATAAAAGTAACGAACTTAGTCACGAAGGGTATTCATTTATCTGAAACCAACTAGGAACGTAACAATCTTGTATTACTCAACGATAAGGCAGTTGAGTTCGGTGAAGTATTACACATGATTATCATCATAGAGGTAAACAACTCGTAAAGGAACTAGTTAAAAGATAACTCGAGGCGTGCAGTGGTAACATCCTTATCCAGTTAACATGTACTTATACCAAGTACACATTATTTTTATCCTTAACTCAATGAAAGAGAGACAAGCTACTCTGAATACTTATGTGGTGGAATCCTAGTCTATGCCTGATAAACGTATACAAATTATGCCATGAGGTTATACTTTACCTTTGATGTACACGTCCGTCATGTTGTCCAGTATGTGTACCAGGTGACCAGGTGTTTGTCCGGCACCGAAGTTCTGCCTGCAGAAGTCTATGGAACTCTTGTAGTCCAGCCTCCTCTCGACCAGCTGAACGCAGGTTTTGGTGTGGTCGTGGAACTCCATGGAAGGTCCACAGAACGCGCTGTCTGCAGGCAAGTAGAAGACTGACATTTTATACACTGGACAGTGGTGCCAAATACATAACTGTAGTGTAGAAAACTACAGAAACAACTTAACGCAAAGTAAGACTAAAGAGACATATATACACGTAGTAAGACTTAAGACACATTATACTTGTAGTAAGACTTAAGCCACATTATGCTTGTAGTTAGATTAAAGACACATTTATACTGGTAAGATTAAAGACACATTTATACTTGTAGTAAGATTAAAGACACATTATACTTATAGTAATATTAAAGACACATTATACTTGTAGTAAGATTAAAGACACATATTATACTTGTAGTAAGATTAAAGACACATTTATACTTGTAAGATTAAAGATACATTTATACTTGTAGTAAGATTAAAGACACATTATACTTGTAGTAAGACTATAGACAAACTATACTAGCGGTTAAACTAAAACACACATATATCTATATTAAGATTTAGGACATAACTATATTTATAAAAAGACTAAAAACATAACTACATATATCACAATACTAAATACATATTTATGCTTGTTAGAAGAATTTAGACACATCTATACTAAGACTAAAGACACATCTACATATGTAGTCAAGCTAAAAACACAAGTATACGTAGAGAGACACAACTACACACACAACACAACATATAAGTGAAACATTACCTGATATGCGATTAAAGCATAATAAAAGTAGAATCACAAAAACTTTCATTTTAATTTAGTCTTGTCAAATAATTCGATTCTTAAGCCTATAAATCATTAACTTTACCCAGTTTAAACTGCTTAGCAGAACAATTTTGATAATTCATTCAGTAAAGAAAAATAAAAACAAAATACAAAAACGTTGTTAATTTTCGAATAAAAGAGCTATTCACGACTCAATTTTAAGTCCAAATGTATAATGTTAGATATTAATGGTAAGGTAATGATAGGTGTTAAAACAATACAACTACAATTAAAAATAGTTCTTTATTAAATTACAATCCAAATCCAGTGTATAAGAAAGTGGCTTAGAACAAGACATGTACGAATGTTAGCGTGAGACAGTAAACGACCAACACGGCTTTAAAGTAGGACTGGGATGGTAGCTTCCGTTAGACACACTTAAGAGGCAATTACCCTGACCTACACACCATACATCTTCTTTTCTTTGCAAGCAGACACTAATGCAATTCTTTAGATATTAGAGTTCTTAAACTTTTCGCTTTTGTATCAAGAGAATAAATTATATATTTCTACCAAAACACAAATTATACTAACAATTTTCTAGTCAACTTTTATGGTATCGCAGCTTCTGCTCTCGTTAAACTGCTCATTTTGTCTTTTAAAATCCTCTAACATCTTTATAGGACTTACACGATAGTAATTCACAAACGTTTATACTTTTTTGAATTCTTAAAATATTTAAGGATTATAAATCGATGTTTCTAATTAAGTTACTTGATACAAAATATAATTTTATATTAGTTCTTATACTTAAATATTGTATGAATAAAATATAAAATAGCTACACTCAGTGATGGTTTTATACATGCGCTATTTATTGTGAAGGATGTATGGACTATTAACATTAACGTTTGTACCAGGGGAAGCTACCGAGTATATATAGTTGTAATGTTAGCCAAAGGTAGCAGTAGCATTGGGGCAATGGGGGGAGAGGGGTAGGAGGATGAAAGAAAGGATGGGGGAGGGCTAAAGAGGGTGAAGAGGGGGATGTGTCGATCATAAAAAAAATATAACCTACGAGCCGACCCGCGGCATATCATACGCCGCTATTTAGTTGTTTTATTTTCTACTTTTCAGTAATTCATAATTTGTGAATTCGACAGTACCAATGCTGCCACTGAAAATATCTGCTTTAAAACACTATCAGTAGGTCGTTAATGACGATACTACCCCCACCCTCCTTTCCCCCAACCCCTACCCTACACCCCATCCCCCCGTGAAAGCAGCCTCCTCTAAGTTACCTAAGTTTAAAATCGTTTCAAACTAAATATCTGCCCCTAATAGCCGTCACTAAACCCAGCTCTACGACTGTAAACATTTAGTGTGAACCAAAGCTCACCACACCATGTAGGGGTGGGGTGGTAGGGAGCGCGCTTGCAGCTTGTTTTCTAGCGTCTCCCAGAAGAGAATTATATAAATAGATGTTATCAGTCCGCACCTTGGACGAAAAACTTGAAGTTTCCCTTTTCAACATAATTAGCAGCATTGTAACTGTATTAAGTAGGGCAAAGTTATCAGCTAGTGACGACTTAATTGTGTGCGCTAGGGAAGGGGTAACTGACCCTACTGTCCCAAAATAAACTAACCATATATATATATATATATATATATATATATATATATTTATATATATATATATATATATATATATATATATATATATATATATATATATATATATATATATATTAACCGGAGTTAAGCTTGATCTACGCGTAGTTACTGCATATTGATACTAAACATAGTCGAAGTCATATCCCTAAACCTTGCACCTAATCGCAAACACGAACTAAATCGCATTTGGGGGGGGGGGGGGGCTCCACTTCGAGCACCCCCCTCTCCCCCCCCCCCACACACACACATACTGCCCGTCTGGGGAGGAATAACTGTGAAAGTAAAACACTGGTCGCATTTGTAGCTCACACAAACACTTCTATAATATAGACCTGTTACCTACTTTCGACCGATACATTTTACTCACGCAGACAGTGTTCGTTTCAGGCTTTTTTTTCCGGGGTTGGGGCACTTGAATTTTAGCAGGGGCAAATAAATTTATATATTACTTTTTTTTGGGGGGGGGGGGGGGATTAGAAGTTCTATCGTGGGGGGGAGAGGGGGAGAAGGGGCTATGCCTCTACCCGAAGAGATGCATGAAAGAAACTCATCACGCAATTCACTTATAACTTTAGACAAATAATTTAGGTCGTAATGTCAGTATTTGTATTATGGAGTATCGATGACGTCATTTCTTTGAAGGGGGGGGGGGGGGGCGGGGCTTCGCCCTTACCCGAAGAAATGCATGAAAGCGACTCTTTTCACGCAAAACACGTTTAAGATAAGACATATTTCAGTGTTTTTAGTGTAGTGTATCGATGACGTCATTTCCTTTGAGTTGGGGTGAAGGGCGGCTTAGACGTTCTTACGCGGGTGTGAGGCTTTGCCACTACCCGAAAAATTGCAAGAAAGAAACTCTGTACGCAAACCACTTCTCAGATTAGACAAAATTGGCTTTTTAACTCATTGTTTACTCGAGTTTTAATGACGTCATATTGCTGTGTGTACTTTACCGGGTTGAGACTTTTTCTTACTATATATTCCTTGCCCTAATGCGACAAATGCACGAAACTACTTGCCCGAAGGCCGTTTGCCCGAAAAAAAATATTTAATATTAGATAATAAATAATATGACCAAACGGACATTATTTATTAAGTTTGAAATTTTGATAAAAAACAAAATTCTAAGCATAAAAACAAAGTTTAATAAATATTATTTTTAATAATAACAGTATAGAAGTCGTTCACTAGAAATGGAATCGGACGAGTCCGTCTGGCCCCCAGCAGGGTGCGATTTGGTGTCCCTGTCTATCGTGTAAACGCTATAGTGTGTACGTTAGCTTTAAAGGGTGCGATATGCTGTGGAGAGTCATGGAAACTAAACAACAAAGGAGAGAGCCGACTCAGAGGCTTTGAAAGAAGATCCCTCCAACGCATCCTCAGAGGAGATGGAGATGGCTGGGCCATGTCCTACGCATGAGCAAAAGAAGACTCCCCAACATGGCGCTGAAGTGGAACCCACCTGGAAAGAGAAAGAGAGGAAGACCACTGGGAAAATGGAGGAGAGAGATGGAAGAAGAAGTACAGGCTACTGGCAAGACCTGGCATGAACCAAAGTGGCTCGCCCAGGACAGGGTGGAATGGCGGAGATTTGTTGCTGCCCTATACTCCACAGGGAGTGATGAGGATTAAGTATAGGCTGTGGATTAGAAAGGTTACTGCAGTCTTTCACTAAATCGAATCTGGCTTGTCCTCTGTCGCCCCCACAGAGTGCTATGTGAAGCCCCGTGCCTTTCCGTCAGCGCTTTGGCGAGTACGGTCATTTTAAAGAATGCAATAAACTAGGGATAAGTTCAAATTATAATCGTTCACGAAATCAAATCAGGAGCGTCCGCCGGCTTGCCAGCAGGGTGTAATTTGTCGCCCCGGGCTATACTGTAAACACTATGCATTTGTGTTTCCGTTTGTGTTTGTGTTTGCATTTGAGCTGTGTTTGCATTTGTATTTCCGTTAGTGATAGAGTTTGTGTTTTCGTTTTGTGTTTGTGTTTGTGTTTTGGCTTGCTTTGCTTGTGGGTTCGGTTATGAGTTTGTGTTTTCTCAAACGTCCATATGTGCATGCATATACACATTAATTGGAAAAGTAATATATTTCCTAAATACGGATAATGCCGGGTGTATATATTGCTTAATAAGCACGTAAGTAAGAGTTCTTTACAAATAGGTTTTTACAGAGGCTAATTCATGGCCTGGCCGGGATGGCTAGTTTTAACATAAAAATATGATAACGTTCAGTGTTCATTTTAATTGAAACACTAGCCTTCCCGGCAAGGCCCTGCATTGGCCTCTGTGAAAAACCTATCTGTAAAGAACTTTTACTTGCGTGTTTAGTAATCAGTTTATACTCGGCATTGCCCTTCATTACCACAACCAACCAAAACCAAAACACAAAAAACGCAAACATAACACAAACGCAAACACAAGTAAAAACACAAACGCAAACACAAACTCAAACACAAACCCAATCACAAACACAAAGAAAACACAAACACAATGCAAACAAAAAAGCAAATGAAAACAATCCAAATACAAACGCAAATACAAACCAGAACACGAACGCAAACATAAACACAAAGTGCTCACAATCTAGCCTGGGGCGCCAAGTCGCATCATGCTGGAGCGCCGGCGAAACCGCCTAGATCAACTTAGTAACCCATCTTATTGTTATATCTTTGAACTCACTTTAAAGTATGTAGCTTACACAGGAAGTCCCGGAGCGCCAAATAGCACCCTATCGGGTCATGGTCATGGTCATGGTCATGGTCATGGTCATGGTCATGGTCATGGTCATGATCATGGTCATGGTCATGGTCATGGTCATGGTCATGGTCATGGTCATGGTCATGGTCATGGTCATGATCATGGTCATGGTCATGGTCATGGTCATGGTCATGGTCATGGTCATGGTCATGGTCATGGTCATGGTCATGGTCATGGTCATGGTCATGGTCATGGTCATGGTCATGGTCATGGTCATGGTCATGGTCATGGTCATGGTCATGGTCATGGTCATGGTCATGGTCATGGTCATGGTCATGGTCATGGTCATGGTCATGGTCATGGTCATGGTCATGGTCATGGTCATGGTCATGGTCATGGTCATGGTCATGGTCATGGTCATGGTCATGGTCATGGTCATGGTCATGGTCATGGTCATGGTCATGGTCATGGTCATGGTCATGGTCATGGTCATGGTCATGGTCATGGTCATGGTCATGGTCATGGTCATGGTCATGGTCATGGTCATGGTCATGGTCATGGTCATGGTCATGGTCATGGTCATGGTCATGGTCATGGTCATGGTCATGGTCATGGTCATGGTCATGGTCATGGTCAAGGACCAAAATAATCAACTTTTTAAATAAAAATAAAATTTAAAAAAAATGAAATAAAATTAGCGTTTGTTAGAATAAATATGCCAAACAATCTATCTGTGTACGCGTACTCATAGGTGTTCATGAGTTTTTACACCTATGAAAAGATGTAACTGGCTCAGTTTTTAATTAAAATACTTACAGTTCTTTCGTATGGAGGTATAAATATCTTAGAAATTGCTAAAACTGAATTTATTGCCCCACGTCTGTATGTAATAAATAAATTAGAAACTGTTGTAGCAGTTGTTGGAACACCAGCACGTGACGCGTCACATGTCACAGTAAAAGTCCCTCCAGTCTCAGCTACACTTGGGCTGACGATATCATTTCTACT